CATTGCTTTGTCATCTGGGTTCTTGAGGGACAAGTATAATACATTCAATCTCTGGTTCTTCCTGAAGACTTCTGCAATATGCCTGCTGGAGGATTTGGTCAGTATCTCTCCAGAAATCCTGTGGAGAAGAGCAAGAAAAATTACAAATATTTTGTGAAAAATTAACCGGAATGTATTCTTATAGCAATTGAAAGGAATATGATTATGTAGGGCAACTGAACTGCCTCTCCTGGATATATTCATAGAATATTAACCATCACAAAAAGGAGTTGTGAAGTTCAAACTGAATGAATAGTCACTTACTCAAGCGTTTCTATTGCACATTCTGGATGTTTCAGACCCTCACATAGCACTTCCATTGCTTTGTCATCTAGATTCCTGAGGGACATGTCTAATCTATTCAATCTCTCGTTTTTTCTGAGGACTTCTGCAAGATGCCTGCTGGAGGATTCGGTCAGTATCTCTCCAGAAAGCCTGTGGAGAATAGCAAGAAAAATTACAAATATTTTGTAAAAAACTAACAGGAATGTATTCAAATAGAAATTGAAAGGAATGTGATTATGTAAGGCAACTGAACTTCCGCTCCTGGATATATTTATAGAATATTAACCATCACAAAAAGGGGTTGTGAAGATCAAACTGAATGAAAAAGAGTCACTCACTGAAGCGTTTTTATTGCACATTCTGGATGATTCAGACCCTCACATAGCACTTCCATTGCTTTATCATCTGGGTTCTTGAGGGACAAGTATAATACGTTCAATCTCTGGCTTTTCCTGAGGACTTCTGCAAGATGCCTGCTGGAGGATTCCGTCAGTATCTCTCCAGAAAGCCTGTGGAGAATAGCAAGAAAAATTACAATTATTTTGTGAAAAACTAACAGGAATGTATTCTTATAGCAATTGAAAGGAATGTGATTATGTAGGGCTACTGAACTGCATCTTCTGGATATATTTATAGAATATTAACCATTCCCAAAAAGGGGTTGTGAAGATCAAACTGAATGAAAAAAAGAGTCACTTACTGAAGCGTTTTTATTGCACATTCTGGATGATTCAGACCCTCACATAGTACTTTCATTGCTTTGTCATCTGGGTTCTTGAGGGACAAGTATAATACATTCAATCTCTGGTT